ATTGTTAAGAGGAAGAATTAACGTTTGGGGGTGGGTGGTGGGTGACTAAGGACGCTAGTGCATCTCATAATAATTCAATATGTGATCAAGTGATGTGTCCCAATACTCTTCTGATGCTTTCTCTTGTTTCTCTTGTTTCCAACAAATGTTGTATCACACTCACCCGGCTAATTTCTTTGTGAAACTTTTCCTCAAAACCAGCCAAACTCTGGAAGGTGCTGACATAGAAACCAACACGACTGCAAAAAGGTACAGAAAGAGACATATATTCACTCTTTTTCATTTTGTTCAGTGCAAGACAATTCCTAGCATACTCAACTCAACTCAACTGTATTTATAGAGCACTTTAAAGCAACCACCGCTGTGTACCAAGTGCTCTCCATGCAGCAAGAATAATTCATACTACAACAAACAATAAAACAATAAATTAATAACAAAGACAGTAGAAAGCACAAAGACAGCAAAACTGAAAATAAAGTCTCATGCTGATTTAATAACGTTCACCAACAGTGACTAAAACTAATTCAATCTGCTCACAGATGTTCCTTCATCATCTTTATATTATGGACACACACACACACACACACACACAAACACACACACACACACACACACACACACACACACACACACACACACACACAAATACCAAACATGCACTGGGGTGTCAAGTTGTTCAAGCAAAATGAATTGTATTTTCATCCTCCAGCAATACAACTATATGTTCGTCTTTTTGATTGTTTGACGAGAGAATGTTTGTTTCATCTTTTTCCATTTGTAATGGAGGTGCTAGTTTATGATGATCAGACGTCCTATTTCGCCCCCACATGTCCACGTTTGTACACAGTTTGGAGCTGAGGACAGTGATGAGTGATGACACAAGGAAAAGGTAACTGTGTGCAAAGCCCGCACGTAAATGTTTCAGTGTCTATTTAAGGTACCGGTCAGCAAAGCTTAAAACACTCAAAAAGCTGCAAAATTGACTGTGTTCCTTTTTCGGCCCGGGAGCAAAGAAAATAATTCTGAGGAAAAAAACTAAAGGCTGAAGTGACATTTTTTTTTTCTTTGTTAGTGAAATAAAAATCAAAATCTGGTCACCCTATTTTATGACCACCTGAAATATATGAGGAAGTAAAATGACAACTGTTCCCGCAATTCTGCACAAAAAAAGGTTCACCTGTTCCAGAGTGAAGGTAATTCCTCCTGTAAGTCAATATTGATCTCCTCAAACACCTTCTGGGCTCTCTCCAACTCCTCCTCTGCCTGAAAAACCAAATGGTGTCGTTGAACGCATGGGCATTTGTTCAAATGGGTGAATTGCTTTTTTTTTTTTTGTCCCTGTCTCCTTGCTATATGACAGAAACAATAAACAGGTTGAACTGCCTCATGACTTAAATAGAAACTTGACTGTAGTTTCCAGCGCTGCTGTGTGTATTCTCAATATACCTTTGTGATTTTAATACCGCCATCCTTTTTCTTGGTCTTATGCGTGGTGGCATAGTTGTGTCTGGCACTGTCGTAATCCACCAACTTTCTGTCCCGCTTGGCAATACGAGCCTGAGCAAAAATGGAAATTAAGGAAAGTCTTTCCACCATTCATATTAAGAGGTCTATGTTACCATGGCTCCCCACCTTAATATCAGGAAACTGTCCCAAATAGGTATCCATGGATATGAGCGCATGATCAACCAACTTTTGATGGTAGTCAGTCCAAAGCACATCGCAATCCTTGAAGGTGGATGAAGGTGGATGTCAGAATGTCAGAAAGAGAAAATATTGAGCGGTGCTTGGAAAGAAATGTGTTCAAGGGAAGCTTGAAGTTTTCAAAACAGTCACTTTTTGTCATCTGCTGAAATTCCGGGAGAAGAGCTCCCTCAGAAAAAAAAAAAATCCCATCTCTCATTTGCAAACATCTGGGCCTAAGGTAGCAAACAGAAGCAGAGCGAAAGAACCAGTAAAACCAAGAATTGGATGGAACCCAAGACAAAAAAAAAAACGGTGAACATCTGAGTTGCCTCAGGGACCTCAGGCAGCTGAGAGGATTCAGAAGCAATCCGGAATGACCAACATTTCTGCTTGTGTATTAAGAGTATCACCTCTTTTTGACTTTTAATTGATTGTACATTCCAGAAAGTAAAATGTCAAAAAGGTTTAGTGTCATAGTGACACTAAATAAATCATGCTACCAACATTGTAGCCTTGGGTCAGAAATAACTACATTGGTTTAACTGTGTTAAAACGGACCAACCCACACCTGGGTTAAGTGGAGCCAAAAACACTGCAAAAAAATTGGGATACTGGATTCCATTTCAACCCAGAATTTTGAACCAACACAAACAGTCCAAAAATGGAGTTCATGAAATAATCCAACTGCTGTTGTGTATGTTTCATGGACACCAAGAGGGGGAGGGATAATGAAATTAGGCTACATTTATTAGCAGTTTTAACACCGGAAACTCTTTCTTTAAGGTTCCATTTGTTGTGTAATAGGAAGCATTGTGGTGCAATGTAATATCAAACAAAACATGGTCAGATAGATAGATAGCCAAATATCATACGAAATACTTCCTAGTGACAACATTAGGAACAGCTGCATAATTTGATG